GAGTTGAGCCACAGTCCCGGGCATCTGCCTCTATTCCACTGGGCAGGCCCTGGGTGGTGCTAGGTCCCAGGCTGGGGCAGAGCTGGGCCCAAGGCCCAGACAGTGCTGGGCCTCAGGCTGAGGTGGTGCTGGGCCCAGGCTGGGGAGGTACTGGACGCCAGGCCGGGGCAGTGCTGGGCCCCAGACCCGATGGTGCTGGACCCCAGGCCAGGGAGGTACTAGACCCCAGGCCCGGACGGTGCTGGGCCCCAGACCCAGGGAGGTACTGGACCTACCTGCTGGGTCTCATTCAGATTTCATACAGGCCAGTGCTGGCAAAGGTAGGGACCCCCACCAGGCCCCAAGGACTGCGCTTGGCTCGTGGGAGTCCCCTCTGGGCTGGGCTCTGCAGTGGATCCCATCCAGGCCCCAGCACCCCACCCCCCCCAGCAGGTGCGGGAGCTCAGCCCCCTCCTCCCCTCGCCAACCCCTCCCACAGTCCCCCCACCCCCATACTTTCTTCCCTGAGGAAGACCCTCCTTTGTTCCTACCTCTGTCTGTCTCGGAAAACAGAGACCCCAGCCCCTCACTGCTTCACTGGGGAAAATTCTGGAAACCTTTTCAAGAGCTGGCCACCACCTCTCATTCTCTGATGGGGAAGCACAGGTAACGACCCTTCCAAAGCCCTCCTTCTGCAGGGGAAAGAAGGGGCAGAGTGCGGGCATGGACCTGGCCATGACTGCAGACCTGATGGGGGTTGGTGGGAGGGTACAGGCACCAGGGGGAAGACGGGAAGGGTGAGGTGCCCTGCACCAACTCAGCAAGAGGACACTGGAGCCTGGAGCTCAGATGCTCTTGTTAGTGATGCAGTTTGTGGCTGGGGACATGGGCAAGCCCGTCCCACCCTGGAGCCTGACCCCTAGAAAGGAGGAATGAGTCAGGGCTCTGGGGGAGACCAGGACCAATGCTGCTTCCCAACCGGATGAGCCTTGGGAAACCAGCCACAGCCTGGGGTGACATGGCACAGCCTGAGGTGAGCAGATACAGCCTGGGGTGACCTGGGACAGCCTGGGAAGACCAGCCACAGCCTGGGTGACATGGCACAGCCTGGGGAGACCAGACACAGTCCAGGGTGACCAGGCACAGACTGGGGTGACCTGCGACAGCCCGGAGTGACCAGACACAGCCCGGGGTGACTGGGACAGCCTGGGGAGACCAGCAATGACACCAGGTCCAGAGTCCCACATGTCAAATGGCATGGGCCAAGCAGCAGGGTCCATTCGGGTGACACTCCCCCTGTGTGTCCTGCTCCCCACCGCTCCCTGTTGCTGCCCACCCCCAGCCCCTTCACACACTCAGCTTGCCCGCATCCTGGGATGGCATCAGTGTTTTAAATCTCTGACCATGAAGGTCTCTGAACTCTGCGAGCCACTCAACTCCTGTGATATCTGAGTTGGGCCGTTAGCAGTGGGCAGGGCAGGGCAGGGGAGCGTTTAATTCCTAGGTTGTCCATTACAGTTTTGCATCTGCCCTGAGCTGAGCCCAAGACCAGACACGGCAGAAAGAGAGGGCCTTTTCCCAGAGGCTTCTCCTCAAGCTACAGCCCTGCTTTCTAATGGGCCACCTATGTGGTCTTTGTTGGTGGACAAGCGGCCCTTTGGCTTTCCCTGTTCCTCAGTATCTCCATAATCAAGGTGGGAACACAGCAGTAAAGAACTGTGTGTCCCGTCCCGTGTGGGAAGCAGTGAAGGGAGCCCTGTGGTGGAGGCAGTGGGTGGGGGCTGGGTCAGGGGCAGCAGCTGGCTAGAGCGCCCTTTCCCCACACCAAGCCTTGTTGACTCAAACCAAAATCCAAATCAAACCCACTGCCATCAGATTGATTCAGACTCACAGCGACCTCCACTGGGTTTCCAAGGCTGTCTTTACTGAAGTAGATTGCCTCACCTTCCTTCCCCAGAGCAGCTGGTGGGTTTGACCCGCCAACCTTCTGGAACAGCCAGGTGTCTTATCCACTATGCCACCAGAGCCCCTTTGTTTGACCCATGGATCCATAATTCTCCACCCATTTACCTAAAAGTTATTTCCTATCTGAGACTGGGTTTCCTTTGTTATATTAATGAGGCTACATTAGTGCGGGGCATGTTCGAAACTCAATTGCTGCTGACTTCCAAGGAGCAGCAGAAACACGGCACTGAGGGGAAGACCGACACTACATGGCGACCACCAAGGCACCAAGGCACACAGTGCCAGGGGAGACTGCACCACAGGGTTTCCAAGGTGGAGTTTTCAGAAGAGGATTGCCAGGCCTTTCTTCTGAGTAAGCCTGATGGGCTGGATGCTCCCATCTCTCAGTTAGCAGCTGAGCACACTAATCACTTGCATCAACCACAGACTCCAAATACTCAGGTGGACAATGACAAGCAAACGCTCCTCAGACTTGTGCAAAACACACCTCACAGTCTCTGCAATAAGTGAACGGACGTCATGGAAACGGCCAGGTGATGGAGGCTCTAGATGGACTCAAAGTGACACACAGGCAGCCTCCTATGCCAGCGACCCCAGACCAGTGGAGAAAGGCCTTTGGGGGCAACCGAGGAAACCGGATTGTGGACTGGAGGTGAGACATCAGGAACCAGAGTATGGGCTGGAAGCCGTGGTCGCCATTGTTATAGAAGAAACATGCTCGGAAGCACGCAGGGGTGAGACTAGCACCTCGGATCTTCATTGAAACCCTACCTTATGGAAAACAGGGACAGACAGTGCAGCCCAGCCTCAGTGGTGATTTTAGGAGGGTGAGGAATGAAGGCACGCAGCTCCCCCCTCACTTAGCATCTGCTAAAAAAGTTCCACAACAAAGGAGCAACCAACCCCAAAAGCAACCCCTGTCATCCCAGAGGACAGAGCAGCACTGCCCCATAGAATTCCCAAGGCTGTCAGTTTTCACAGAAGCAGACTGCTGTATCTTTCTGCAGCCAAGTAGCTGGTGGGTTCGAACCACCGGCTTTTTGGTTGGCAGCCAAGTGCTTTAACCATTGCACCACCAGAAGTCCGTATTAGGAGAAATAAAGAAAGAAAAGCCTCCTCGATTCAGAAAACGCAGATACCAGTCAGCCCAAGTCTGGTCTCTCCCCAACCTTCCTGGAGGCCTTTTGCTCCATCACCACAGGCCAGTCCCCACCTCTCCCCCTGCTCCATCTTCCTAGAGAAGGTTCACCAGAGGGGTGCCCCTTGCTCTGCTTTTGCCAGGCACAACACCCACACCCTGGAGGCACTTCCTCAAGGCAACCTGGCAAACCACAAACCTGGGCCTGCTTTTGCTCATTGCCCAACAGCTACCTGCTACGGTCACTACTGAAGTACCCCATCCACCCACATCACCTTCCTGCTCCAAACCGTCAGCAGTCCTCCACGATCGGGTTGCATTGTGCCAGTAAGATGTTGAAGCCCTAATCCCTGCACCTGGGAACATGATGCTTTTTGGAAATCGGGTCTTTGAAGATGTGGTCAGTTCACAGGTCTCTGGAGTAGGATGGGTCCCGACCCAACCTGAGTGGCGTCCTTGTAAGAAGAGACAGAGGGAAGGCGGGCCACACCATAACAGAGGCAGATTTGGAGTGATAGAGCCACAAGCCAACGAACATTGGGGACCACCAAAAGCTGGGAGACAAGGAAGGATCCTTCCCTAGAGTCTTTGGAGGGAGTACAGCCCTGCCCACACCCTGGATTCAGACACTCAGCCTCCAAAACCATCAACAATCAATTCTATTCTTATAACCAGAAAACAACTACCAAGGTTGCCCCTTCTGAGACCGCCCCCTCCAATGCCATAAGCGATCATCCCTGTAGGGAGACTGGCTGCCCAACTGCCATCATTATCCTCACATTGCTGTCACATCAGGGGCAGGGTGGTGGTGGGGTGCTCCAAGCACCTGCCACTGAGCAGCCCCCCATCAGTGTGGCTCCTTCCTCCCCATCAAGGCAGACTCCACCCTGCTCACCACACACCCAAGACAAACACCCCAAGGCATGCCCTGGCGGCCACTGATGACACCCCCCATTTCAGGTGCATGTGGAAGTAACTTGTGTGGTGTTCATGGAAGCCCCAGGCTCAGCATACCCACCCAGTGACAAAGCCAATGTTCCTGGCCATGGTAGCCGTGGTCAACTTTGAGTCCACTCCAACAGCCTGCTCAGTCTTCCCTGTACCTGGTGCCACTGCTAACCCAAACATGGAGGTCTGGGTAAGGCTGTGAGGGTGGGCAGCCCCTTCCTGAAGTGGAACCTGGGGGCTGTCCCCATAACCCTCGGTCTGACGGGACACACATCCCTGCAGGGCTCTGGGAGACACCTGTTAGTGCCATGACAGGAGGAAAAACTCACAGTCATGTCTCCTCAGACAGGAAGAAACACTGACAGTCACATCTCCTCAGACAGCGATAAAATTCACAGTGACAGCCATGTCTCCTCAGACAGGAGGAAACACCAACAGTCATGTCTTCTTAGTAAAACTCAGACAGGAGGAAACACACACACACACACAGTCACATCTCCTCAGGAAGAAACACTGACAGTCACATCTCCTCAGACAGCAATAAAATTCACAGTGACAGTCATGTCTCCTCAGACAGGAGGAAACACTGACAGTCATGTCTCAGACAATAAAACACACAGTGACAGTCACATCTCCTCAGACAATGATAAAATAAAAAAGCAAAAGCAAAATGATTTGGCAAAGACTTTTTGTTTTTCAAATTTTAAATAAAAAAACAACCATTCACACACATGAGATTTATCTTATCTGCTTTGAAGAAAAACACTGAAGAAAATAGAAAGTTAAAAAAAAAAAAGTCAAACCCCAATAATGATAAAAAATAGACACATCCTCCATAAAAATCTGGACTAAACTACCTAACCGTCACATCTAGTCAGTATTTAGAGCATGAGGTGGGTGCTAGAGTACAAAAATAAACCCCGAGTGCTGTGCTGCGTGGCACCCACCCCGTGTCTGCCTGGCCCCGGGCTCAGAGCTCCTCCTTGGCCGGGCCTGGCCGCACAGTGTGTTCGTCAATGAACTTGCTCAGGTGCTCAAGGTCCCTGCTGGCGTCCTCAAACTTGATGGGGTTCTGCTTGTCCCCTCTGGGTGCGAAGTAGATGGTGGGGAAGCCGTCCACCTTGTAGCGGTCACTGGTGGCCTCGTTGGCTGTGGCGTCCATCTTGGCGATGACAAGACCCTTGTGGCCACGGTACTTCTTGCCCAGCTCGGTGTACACGGGCTCCAGCTGCTTGCAGTGCCCGCACCACGGGGCGTAGAACTCGATGAGCACGTCCTTGCTGGGGTCCAGCACTATGTCCTCGAAGGTCTTCCCCACCACAACCTTGACTGGCCCCTTGTTGTTCTTTGGCACCGGCTGTGACTTGATAACTGGCTTCAGTTTTCCTGCCAGGAAAGCAAGAGGGGTGGGTCAGTGCCACACACTGAGAGGGGGGCCGCTCAGACTTTGCCAGCGCGACAAGGGCCATCCCTAGAGGCAGTTCCTGCCCACCAGGCAGCCAGCCACACGCTGCGTGGGATGGAAGACTGTGAGGACCCTGGTCCCACAAGAGAGCAGACTGGTGAGGCCCCACACTGTGGAGGAGGCTGCAGGGGGAGACCAGAGAAGGGGGTGCCTGGCAGTTCCACCAGCCCCACTGGGCCAGATAAAGACCACGCAAAGCCTCAGAGCATTTCCCACGTACGTGAATACTTCTACTTCCAAAAGCCTATTTGACTTTGAGTATTTCAAAAACCACCCTTCCAAAAATTTCCAAGACATACCCACCAATCTTCTTACTAAGAAAAAATAACAGGGAAAAAAAAAAGAAAGGAAAAAAGAGGGCTGCACCCCGAGGCCCAGTGAGCACTGTGGGGGTGCTCCCCTGGACTGCACCCCGAAACCTAACAAGCACTTGGGAGGGTGCTCCCCCAGGATGTACCCTGAGGCCTAGCGAGCGCTGTGGGGGTGCTCCCCCGGGCTGTGCCCTGAGGCCTCGCGAACATGGGAACTGCTGCACCGGGTCTGAAGCCACATCAGGACCACAGGTTCGTGAGGGCCCCACGTGGCTGCCCCTCTGATGCCCTGCAGCTCCCAGCTCTCTGGTAGCTGTGGCTGCCAGCAGGGCGATCTGAGTAAGCTCTGAGCTAGACCCCACAATCAGGCTTTTCCTTTCAGACTACACTATAAGGGCTGCTCTGGGGCAGAGTGGCATTCCCAGATGTTAGCCTCTGGCTCCTACAAGGAAGCGGTATGCTGGGGTGGGCCCCTCTGCCAGCCCAGAAAGGACACAGCAGCACACTCACCCTTCTTGAAGGCCATCACAAACTCGTGCAGGGCATCAGCGTCAAACTCGGTGGGCTCCATGGCGAACCTGCGCCCACCCTCATCCAGCACAGCTGCGTTGACATCCTCACCGCTCTCACCAAGCCCCAGGTCCTTCATCTCCGATGTGTAGTCTTCCTCGTCAGCGATGGCAAACGTGTACTCGGGGAAGTCCCTAGCCACCTCCAGGACCTTGCTCCGCCAGAACTGGGTGGCTGGGGGACCAAAGTGCTCCTGGGTGTCTGCACCACCACCCCACCATCCTGTGCCCACCAGCCGGGGCCTACCCCTCACCCCTCACCCACCCACCAGGGCCCCAGCCCCTGGCTTCTTGGCCCTCCCACCAGGGCCCATCCTTTCCGTGCCCATGTCTGCTGAGGTCCACCCCCTTGCCCTTTGGTGTCCTCTGCCCCCTGCTCACCAGCTCTGTAGTCAAAGCTGAAGTCCACAGTGAAGTAGACCACCACCAGCGGCCGCCGGGTGTAGCGCTTGGCCTCGGTGGCAGGCCTGCGGTGACCAACCAGGGGCAGGGCATGCTGCACCACATGGTCCCTGATGACTGAGGCCTCTGTAGAGTCCTGGTATAACAAGAGGGAGCCTGAGGTAGTGCCCACACCCCAGCCCCTGCTCACAGTGGGGTCAGTCAGGCCCCAGTGTCAGGGGGACACTGGGTTTGTCAGTCAAGCACACATCAGAGGCCTGGAGGTGGAGGCAGACCCCGCACCTCTCCTGTGGATCAAGACTGAATGTACTAATCCACTGGCCATGTGAGACCCTGCCGACTGGGTGGGACCCCACCACGGTCCCCCACCCACACAGCCCCAGGTCCAAAACACCCACAGCCATCAAGATTAGCACGAGCCACTGCCCTCCGACCTGCAAGATTTCTACCCACAGTGCAGCGCAGGTGGTTCGTGTCTGTAAGTTCCGGGCTGGAACCTTGGCCCTGCACCTGTGGGTGTGCTCCTAGCTGGAAACAGGGTCTCCTTGTTACACTAATGAGGCCACACAAGAGGGCAGGTTCCAAACCTAAGCAATGCCTCCTGTTTTATAACAAGTGCCGAACCATACAAACACACAGACACAGAGACCCACAGACGCAGCCAGCAGAAGTGACGGGCATTTCTGGGGCCCCAACAAGGACCCTCCCCTACAGCTGGTGCCTGATTTGGACTTCCAGCCCCCAGAACTGTGAGACACTGAATCCCTGTTCCTTCAAGCCCCCTCCGTGTGAGATTTCTGCATGGAGATCAGCCGGCCAAGAGTCAGAGAGGGCAGCTAGCAGGCTCCCTGCCCTGAAGCCGCAGGTGTGTGGACTGGGCTGTATGTGGCAGTGGGGTGTCCTTGTCTCATACAACCCCGTAAGCCCCAAGGCGCTAGGAATGGCAACACAGTGGGGAAGTCCTAGGCCTGCAAGCCTGGCACCTCCCAGCACTCACCTCGATGTCCATCACATGGCTCCTGGGCTCCAACTGGGACTGGTACCTCTCGGGCTGCATCACGACCAACTTCCCTGGGGCCGCCTTCAAGAACCTGCTGATCTCAGGGCTGAAGGTGTGGTAGAGCTTGTAGTCTTCTCGCAGGCTGTTGGCTGAAGGAAGGCGCACTAACCATGAGAACATATCATGTTTCTTAACCAGCCCGACCATACTGGCCAATCAGATGCCAGGCAGGGTGGACAGCTGAGCTGTGTGGACAGCATGCAGGTCAGAGCCCCAAGACCCACATCAGAGTCTCTGAAGGAAACCAGGTGAACGTGCACGAAAGCCCAGAGCTGACGCACAAGGAGCCGCGGGTTCCTGATGCCAAGAAGCCATGGGCTCTCGGGCAGATGGAGCAGCATGGCAGTCACAGACTGGGCTTCCAGGCCAGTGCCCTCCTGAGGGGCTACGTGCCCTCCTCGGCTGGGGGGGCCTGAGGCACTCCTGCCGCCTACGCTCCTTAAGACAGCCCTCCGTAAACTTGAAATGAAAGCTCGCTGTCCAGGACGCTCCAGAACAGAGGCAGGCAAGCTTTCTGGGAGGGGCCCGACAGTAAGGAGCTGTGCCCTGAGTGCCACAGGAGGCGCCTCAACATCTCAACTCAGCCACTGCCCTGTGTGAAAACTTCGTCTACAGATGACCCCGCCCTGAAACCTCGGGAACTTTGCTCTCAACCTCTCCCCTCTGGGCCAGGCTACTTCTATGACTGGAGCACAGGGCCAGGCCTCCCAAGGGCCACCTGCTCGTAAAGGTCCCCGGCCTAGGAGTCTGGGGTGTCCGGGCTGGGTGCAGGCGAGCGGCAGCCCCGGAGTCAGAGTCAGACCCGGTCACACCTGTGACCTGTTAGCTATGTGCCTCTGGGGCCCCTCCAGAGGAAGGGGCTCAAGTCTCCCTCAGGCTGTTGTGGAGATGAAGCAACGCAGCCCATACCAGCACCCCTGCATGATGGTCTGCCCTGCGTCCGAGTCTCCCGGGGCCCCAAACACTTGTACCAAAAGAGCTGCAGGGAGAGACGGTCATCCTGCTCCATGACTGCAGGGCCCCCTGGAGCTGCCCTCAGCATCCTCACATGGAAGGCAGCAGAGTCCACAGTGGCCTGGACACGGCCACTAACGTGATGGCGAGGGTCGCCAAGGTGATGCGAGACCAGCCCAACACCAGCTGGGCAGAGCACCAACCCCCAGCTCCACCTGCCCCAGCCCCACCCCACTCACCTGCCTCCTGGTATTGTTGGTAGGCCGGGTCACTCTCCCCCTGGAAGACCCCAATGACAATGACGTCATCCCCATCCTTCAGGAACTCCTGCACCTGCTTCAGTCCCACAAGTGCCTTGGACGGAGGCCCAGCCTGCTCTACCATGTAGTCCACAATGCCTAGGGAAGGAACACTGAAGGTCTGCCCATGGCTACCCCACTGTCCACCTATGGCTGCCTACCTCACAGCTCTCGCCCCCATTCATGGTCCATGTCTACCACACCCATCCCACTGTCCACCCCTCAGCTCACACCTGCCACACCCACCCTGTGGCCCATGTCCACTGTGCACTCTGTGGCCCACACCTGCCATGCCCACCCCACCGTGCACCTACAGCCCCCTTACCGTATTTTTCCCGAGGACCATTATAGTCAAAGGGCTTCCCACGGCGGAAGATCTTCAGGGTGGGGTAGCCAGAGACAGAGAACCGTTGGGCCAGGCCCGTCTCCGCGGTGGCATCGACCTTGGCCAGGGGGATCGGGGGTGAGCGCCGGCTGAGCTCCTTGGCTGCTTTCTCGTACTCAGGGGCGAGTTTCTTGCAATGTCCACACCTGTGGGGAAGCCAGTCTGTTGGGCTTGCTGGGGGAATGGGCCTTGGCTGGCAGGCTACAAACCTCACCCACAGCACCCCAGAGCAGCGGGTCCATCCTGCTGGACACAAGACCCAGGAGAGGACAAACAGCACCAGTGGGGGGACCTGTAGCACCCAGAGCAGTGGCTCCGTCCTGCTGGACACACAGCCCACGACCACCCCAGGAGCACCGGGGGAGCACCCACAGCACCCCAAAGCCGCAGCTCCATCCTGCTGCCCTCCCATCACAGCCAGACCAGCTTCCACCATCCCACATCCCGGGCCAGGGGGCCAGGCAGCCATGCCCTCTGGCTGAGTGACTCCATGTTACCCCTGCCTGGAGGGGACAGCCACCTCGGGGCTCTGTGAGGACCCCCACCAGTCCCACCTCACCAGGGGCTGGCAGGCTGCAGCCTCACCAAGGGGCGTAGAACTCCACCAAGATGATGTCAGCTTCGTTCACGACACTGTCAAAGTTCTCAGCGGTCAAGACCAGTGTCGCCTCGGGTGGGGGCGTCCAGGTGGGCTGCGCAACCTCTCTAACCTTGGCAACAATTTCTGGAACAAACAGACAAGCTCAACCACACGCTAAGGCCTGCTTAGAAGTGGGGGCAGAAAGGCAGCAGGGGTCACCAGGGGCCACATCCATGGCTGGTAGCGCCTGTAGTTTAAGGACCCAGGAAGGGCTGCGAGGCCTGTTTCCAGTGACCAGGAGCAGACCTGAGGCCACCTCCAAACCCTTAGGTCTGCACGGTCTTCCCCATCTGGGCAGCAGTGCAGCCTGGAGCCTGCTAGGCACCTCAGCACGTGTGCACTGGTACATGTGGGCACAGGGTTGGATGTGGGTATGCATGGGCGTAGCACATGTACGCGTGGGTGCAGCCCGTAGGTGCAAGTACATGTGGGCACAGCACACATGCATGTGGGCGTAGTGTACATAGGTACACAAGTGTGCAGGACATGTGCGCAGGCACACGTGTGTAGCACATGTGCATGGGTACATGTGTGTGAGGGTATGTGTGTGCAGCATGCCCCGGTGGTACACAGAAACCCCAGGAACACCACAGAGAAGCACAGCGGCTGGACTCAGGGACACACAGACTCCATCCTCCAGGGAACTTCCCAAGAATCGCCAGAACAGTTATCTGTAAACTCCCTTCTCCTTTGCTCGTAGGACTCAACCCTCCAGGGGATCCTGGCAGTCCCCGAAGACAGAGCCTCTGCTCCGAGTGCCCCCAGGGCCTGGCCTCTCACCTCTGGCGTTCTAATTCTAAACCTTGGGCTCCAGGGTCTAGGATGGGATGTCACCTTCCACCTGAGTGGAATTTAGGTCTCTGTCCACAAACGTCCCTTCAAGGAGCACCCCAGCTCTAGGTGCCCAGGGCAGCTGCAGTGCAGGCAATTACTTGGTATGGCTCTTCCAACCATGGTCTGTGTGGCTCCTTCCAGATGACTGGGTGGACTTATGGAAAAGTGAGATGCTCGTGGCCCACCAAAGGGATTGGATAACTTATTAGTGACGGAAATAAGGTATGTGGCACCTTTGTTGGGTGGGACTACAAAAATAAGGTGTAGAAAACGCTTTCGTGGGGATTGGTCAGTTTTGCTCCAGCTTAAACTAAGTCCTCCCAGAAGCAGAAAGGGGGAGCTCACTGCCGTCAAGAACGAAAAGCCAGAACGGGAACCCACCCTGGGACCCAAGATCCCTGCACAGAGACACAACAGACAACTGCGGCAGAACTGAGATCCCGTGAGACTGAGCGGCAGGCCTCCAGGCCCCCGGGGAGAGGAAGCCGAGCACCTTCAGGCAGGACGCCGCTGGCAGAGTGCGAGGCACCTACTAGCAGAGCCAAAGGAGCTGAGGTTGCCCAAGCAGGGTAGAGGCCAGGCTGAGAGGCGTGCCTGTGGGTGTGGCCAGCAGAGGCTGTCCTGATTGAAGAATTGCATCCTGAGCGCTCTGAAATCTGGATTGTAACCTGTGATTTCCCTAATAGCCCCTAGAACTGAGAGGACCGTCTGAGACTGGTGTGGCCGATGCAACAAACTGTCGAACCCAGCAGAGCAGCAGTGTGTGCAGCGGGAGGGGTATTGCTGTCAGAACTGGTAAAGATTGGGGTGGTGGTAGCCCATGTGACCTGCACCTTGCAGAGATCAGCCTCAAGATGCTGATACGGCTCTGGGTCCTCCTTTCCCCTCAAGAAATTAGAGGCAGTCAGACACCCCCCTAAGGCCCTGGTGGCAGAAGCCTCCCAGGTTCCTGGGACTTTTCTTCTGGTCCCGGGGGCGGATTTTGTGTGCCCATGTGGCTGGGTTATTGGTGCCCAGCTGCTGGGTCAAATGTGAGTCTAGGTGTTGCTGGGCAGGTATTGTGTAGCTGCAGGCAGTGCCTACAATCAGCTGACTTTGAGTTAAGCAGGTCACCCTCCACTGTGCGGGTGGGCCTCATCCAATCTGCTGAAAAGCTATCAGAGCAACACCAAGGTCTGCCAGGAAGGAAGACTGAGCATCGAGACCGTAACAGAAACCCTGCTGGACTTGCAGCCTGCTGCCAGCCCCAGGGATCCCGACTTGCCCACCCGCTATTGTGTGTGCCAACCTGCCTCTTATGGGTCCTGCTCCTCTGCAGAGCCCTGATGGCCTCCGTCATCCAATCCCCACCTCACCCTCCATACCCAGGAAGCGGCCTGGCTGCCCCCAAGCACAGTGCCCGCTCACCCTCTTGGGTCCTGCTGCCCTCGTAGTCGATGGCCTGTCCCTTCTTGAGGATCTTGATGGTGGGGTAGCCGTTCACGTCAAACTTGCTGGCTAGCATGGAGGCTGTGGTCGCATCGATCTTGGCTACAGGGATGGGAGGGTCGTCGCCCTTCAGCGTCTCAGAAATTTTCTCATACTCTGGAGCAAACTGCTTGCAGTGTCCGCACCTGGAGTTAGATTTCAGGGGGAAAAGCATATCAAGGCGGCACGGAGGTTCAAACCCAGTAGTGATCGGAATGGGGGCTCCTAGGCTCACAAACACACAGGGGATCCTGGGCCAGAAACAGCTGCATTTAAACACAGGGCCACTCAGACCAGAGACGCCTATGCTCACAAACGGGGGCTCCAGGCCAGAGACACCTGTGCCCACAAACACAGGGGCTCCAGGTGAGAGACGGCTACATTCAACTTGGGGCTCCCAGGAAAGACGCATTGGTGTTTACATGAACAGGGGCTCCTGGGCAAAGACACCTGAGCTCACAAACACAGAGGCTCCCACGCCAGAAACAGCTGCATCCAAACTTGGGGGCTCCCAGGAAACTATGCCAGTGTTCACATGAAGAGGGGCTCCTGGGCCAGACACGGCTGCGTTCAAACTCAGGGGCTCCCAGGAAACTATGCTAGCGTTCATGGGAATGGGTTCTTGGGCCAGAGATACCCAAGCTCACAAACACTGGGACTCTCGGATCAGAGACAGCTGTGCGCACAAACATGGGGGCTCCTGGGCCAGACACAGCTTCGTTCAAACTCACGGACTCCCAGGAAACTATGCCAGTGTTTACATGAATAGGAACTCCCAGGCCAGAGACACCCACACTCACAAAGCACCAGGAAGAAGGCTGGAGGCTTTGAGGACACAGCAGTGCCTGAACACCAGGCCTGCTTTGGCAAACAGTTCCAACATCGCCAAAGTTTCTCACGTTTGGCCCCGGGGTCTGTGACGCTGTTTCTCCCTCTGCCCCTCCTCACACAGGAAGCTTCCAGAGGCCATGTGCCCGTGCAGCACCTGCACCGTGGCACTGGTGGGTCACAGCGGTTAAAGACTGAGTGAACAGATGTTCCAAAAACTTCTAACACATCAAACACTGCAGAGACACTGCGAGCCGTCAAGTCCGACTCACAGCGACCTGACAGGAAGAGCAGAACTGCCCCATGAGGTTTCCAAGGGTATAAGTCGCTACAGAAGCACTTTCAGGTCTTCCCTCCTGCAGCTCCACTGGGGGGGTTCAAACTGCCAACCTGTTGGTTAGCAGTAGGATAGTAAGACGTGCCGACCCGTCAGGAAGGGACAGCACAGCCACCTTGGAGACCAGCCACGAGGACGGCCAAGTCAGAGGCCGACACAAAGCACCACACAGGCCCTGCACGGCCCGGCGAGCGAGTCAGAGGCCGGACACAAGCACCACACAGGCCCTGCACAGCCCGGCGACCCAGTCAGAGGCCGGACACAAAGCACCGCCCAGGCCCTGCACGGCCCGGCGACTCTGACTCAAAGCTGGGCCAGGGAGTGGAGAGAGGGGTGACAGCTCAGTAGTCAGAGGACGGGGCACACAGGCAGTGCAAGGGGCCATGCTTGTGGGTAAAAGACAACAGGGCTGTGTGCACTCAGGCTACCACTGGGGAGGAGGTGAGTCCTGAGAAGAGCCATGTCTGTCACGACTTGCGGCCTTGCCACTGATGCCTGCGGGTTGTCACCACCCAAAAAGCCTGCACCTTAGGTCCTCAGACACTGGTTCAGGGCGGCCATGTCCACAAAGGTGGCACACTGGGGCTCAGGGAAGGCTGGCGAGTGACCACACCCAGGGCTGCTAGCCCTGTACCAGAACTTCCCACCAACCCAGTTTGAAGCCTTAGACGGGCCCTGGCCCCCAGAGCTGGACACCGACCTTCACGAGGCCCTGTCCCCCTGGAACTAGATGCCTGATTCTCACCGAGGCTCTGGCCTCCTGCAGCTGGACACCTGCTGACCCTCGCCAGGCCCTGGCCCCCGGAACAGGATGCCTGACCCTCGCCAGGCCCTGGCCCCCCGAGCAGGATGCCTGTCCCTCGCCAGGCCCTGGCCCCCCGAGCAGGATGCCTGACCCTCGCCAGGCCCTGATCCCCCCGAGCAGGATGCCTGTCCCTCACCAGGCCCTGATCCCCCCGAGAAGGATGCCTGACCCTCACCAGGCCCTGGCCCCCAGAACAGGATGCCTGACTCTCGCCAGGCCCTGGCCCCCAGAACAGGATGCCTGACTCTCGCCAGGCCCTGGCCCCCCGA